ATCGTCATTGCATATTCATAATTACCTGGACAGGAACTTGATAAATTTTGTAATACTCGACGAGTTCTTCAACGTTCGTGAAACGTTGTTCTTCATCTAAAGACTTGATTTCGAAGTATCCCTTGTTGTTTTGTTCGATCGGTACGTGATAGAAGCACTGCTGCATATCTCCTTGGTTTGCCATGATTCCCAAGGTCGGTTTTAAGGTCACACTGTCAACGTAGAGCAAGAAGTCGCCGGAATTAGTTAGCAGTGCATCAACCTGATTTGCGTACAGCAGGCCGTGGTAATAAGGTAGCATGTGGAGTGGCCGCGGAGCTTTGAGGTTCAAGAGTGCACACGGCGCAGTGGACATCTTCCACATGTCTCGTTTCGTGTCTCTTTGAAAAACTTCCGTGATCGAGGTGGCCGTAGAGGTACCGGTAGGCCTACTGAGACGAGCAGGGTTCCTGACGGCGTGTCTCAAGACCGCGCCATACAACAGTACTCGACAGTTGACCAGAAACTTTACGTACTGGTCAATGGTCGGCAGCGTTTCTAGCGGTTCGTACCGAGTCAGCCGAGGCAACATGTATCGCCGAGTGCGCGGCTCTCGCTTGAAACGAAACTCCTTCACCTCGTCTTCCCAGCGAACGCACAGCACGACCGCCTTTCGGCCTCTGGCCGAGGTGACCGAACGAAGCAGGTAGTCGCCGTTGCGTTTCAGCCGGCCGCCAGCCTTTTCCAGGCTTTCGTCTTCGTAGTAGTAGGACAGTCTCTGGACCCCGTGTACCGGCTCGACGGTCATCTCACTGTGGTAGAGCGGTTCTTCGGCCGCCGTTTCCAACGTCACTTTCTCGTCGGTTTCCACCTAAAGCACGTCAACGTACAAGTAGAGTGGGCATTGCGTTCGTTCATCATACGACATACGACATACGAGAACAGTCAAAGACACCCACCTCGCATAACCGCCAACACGGTGCAGTCAGTTCACAGATTTTAATTTTGCCTTTTTGTCGAATGCTTTTGTGTACCTCTGTGAACTTCCTGTTCCTGCTTTGAACTATGGGATTTTCTGTCCCCGGATGTGCACAAAATGCTGTGCTTCGAGCTGAACGAGGAAAATGCAATTTTTGAAATTCCATTGATTCTGAGCTATGAATTTCTCTACGACAAATGCTAAGACAGCGATATTCCATCCATCAGGTTTGCTTTAGTGGTTTTTGCCCCCCTGTCACCTCTCTCTAATGCTTTCTTTTGAATTTATAGGCAAGTAACGCTTTTTCATTACAAATCAACGAGAAAAGTGTCAGTGGTATTTTTGAAACACTATTTTATCACGGCGCCTGTCTACATAATATCCAATTTTCATACGTCATCCAACGAGTTTCGACGGTGCCACACAGCTGACGCTGTAGAATTTAATTTCGGCGCCCCTCTCGCACAGCAAAGTAAAAAGCAAGGTTTACGAACGTTTCAAATTGATGTTCGATCTTGATTAATTACATTAGCAAAAAAATTATGTTAATTGGTTCACAAGCTTAAAAAACCTTTGTTGAATTATTTGTGCTTCTCTTTTAAATTCATTTCGGGTCGTATACCAAATGATCTCAGCAAAGGAATTGCTTTTGACTGCTCCGCTTGCCCGCTACATGGGTCCGGCGTTCAGGTTTGCGAAAAGTCTTAGTCGCGGAAACCACAAAGGCAAATGACTGTGATCGTACTCGAACGAAAAACTTTATGGATCAGAAAATACCATTTTGCTCAAAGTCGTATGAACTGCGAATGGCACCAGAAAAACGGGCATAAATTCACGTTAATTTTAATCGGTTATCGTAACCTTCGTTTGTACTGCGGCTAAACAGCATCCCTTACAATGAATTGGTTTAAAGCTTCGTTTTATATACCATCACTGCTACATTCGTCATGCTATCCGTGTTTTCATTACGCGGTTCTGGAAACGACGAGATGACTGAACGGTCTAGGCGCTGGGTTCCTGAAGGCGTGAGTTCGAATGCTCGGTCAGTGTAACTTCCGCCAAGGGTCCAAGACCAGCGTTGCTCAATCGACTGAGTGTCCAACTCGGAACTAAGAGGGTAATGGCCTTAGCTCTGGTCAAATCACACGCATCTCCTTTTTCCCATATAGATTAATGAGTGTCACTATGTGAAACAGAAACAAGAAAAGCAACAGAAGTAAGATTCATCCATCATACTCAGACATCCAGAAGGATTCTGAGAAATGGTGCTGAAAATGAGGCGAAAGAGTTTCCTTCACTGCATAGAAATACGGATAAATCGAGACTTCGTAGAGACAGTCAGCAACAAGTATATATCCACTGAGACTCGCGTTGCTCATTCGACAGACTCTGACTCAGAACCTAGGGCTTCAGGGTTCAAGCTCGATTCGGTCATTCGACTTTGTGCCTTTTGACGTTGACAAATTGGTACTACTCTGTGAGAAGGAGACGTCAGTTACATAACCGTTACCAACTGTACCTTTAAAATAAGGCGCAACCAGTTGGTGGAATATAAACGGACTTTGCATTGCACACAGACTTCATGACAGAGTGGGCGTTATAAGTGGTGTCACAGTGTAAATAAGGCAAATATCCCAACAGTTACAGGGTTTCCTTTCATTTTCTTTCTTTCCGCGCATGATAGATGCATTTACGGCAACAAAAACTGAATTTTACGCAAAATCAAAGTAGAGAACCGCATGGCAAGACGAAGTAAGGAGGAGCCGGTGGAAACCAGGCCCAAAAGACCTTCATATTTCATGAGACGTAGTTCAGACAAACGAAATTCATACAGTTCCTTATATTGCTAACGTAAACCTGAATACAATTCCTTTATCGTACCTCAAATAAAAATTCCTAATGAAAATCTCCTCACTTCATTTCACTTTCTATGACTTCTGGTCGCCTAGAAAGACACGTCAGAGCGTGATTATAACGCTCCCGATCCTGTGCCGGAGTCTGAACTTCAGCAGAAGACAACTGTAGTCTACAGCACACTCCTTCCTTTGCTCAAGGTTAATCTTGGCCGTCTCCTGGGCCTTGTGCCGGTCTCCTGGGCAAGAAATAGTTACTGCGCCTTTGTATCTAGAAGCATTCGCAAAATATGCCCAAACCATCGCAGCTATGAGTTCTCAATCTAAAGAAACAGCGGCTGTACACAAGGGCTTTCGCGGATGTCTGTATTCCAGATCATGTGGAGAGGCCCAAGGTCAGCTCGTCTCAGAAAGACCATTTCAGCTGCCTGTACCTCGGATCAAAGATTTTCAGTCATGGCCCACGACTCGTGACCGTATTTGAGCATTGGGATGAAGACCGACGTGAGCCCCGAGATCTTAGACTGTAAAACCACCTCTGCTATAGTCATGATGGTTTCGGCGGAATGGTTCCCACAGGACGCCACTGGCTAATCCAATCCTCCGGTCGATCTTTTCCTAAAATTCTCTATCACCAGTAAACCCGATCCCGAAAAACTTGAACTTCCCCACCTGCTCCAGTGCTTCTCCGTTTATCCCGAGAGAGCAACGGGCAGGAGAACGAGAAAGCACTAGCCTTTCGCTTTCGTTCTAGCTGCGTTCTCACGCATGTTGATCACGTCGCACTTGGTTGTGTACTTTTCCAACTGTAGAGCACTGTAGACCAGTTTCTCAACATGTCAGTCACACAAGATCGTCTGCAAGCTGCAACCATTCCGTCTACACATCTCAATACACTCATCCCTTAAGGAGAGGAGGCAGAACGCAGCCCAGGTGCCAGATAATCTGTATATTTTCAAACACACAGCTGCAATGATTTGGACACCGCTTGTAAGACCTTTCAGAAGGTAAGTCGAAACAGCTACATTCGTTCAACGGAGCGGCCAAAGCCCCGATGAAGGCTAAGAGTGACCTCGAGTATATCCCTCGTCGAAAATTGCTCCAAAAGCAGGCTATCGTCAGACGAAGCTCATATGCAGGCACACGATTCAGAACTTGGAGACGTGTCTGATGGTGTTGCTCAGTTGACCTGAAAGGATATGTTGCCATCGAAACTGAATGATTGACTGATTATATCTGCCATCTGGGCTGAGAATGACCCTTTTTGATGACAAGAATGGACAAAATTGGGCAGTGCTTCATCGCTGACATAAGAACCGAAAATAAAGTAAAGCAATATCATTCGCGAGCGGCAAAATCCGGTCGTGCAATATTCACAAGAGAGGTTTTGTCATCGCTTTGGACTCTGCTATTCAGAATATAATAATTTTTGAATTAGAGTTTAGAGCTTGAATTGTTGCTTGAAGACAGTTAGTGAGAAAAAGATTTTACCGATATCTAAAGTTGTTTATTAGAATGAAAATTCAGATACTGCCATATCACAGAGTTGTAGCGAATGTCTAAGAATGACTCTGTTTCATCATCATACGGCGTGAGGTAAGTAAAAAATATATTTTAATATTCTATATCGTTTGTCCAGTGCCAGTGCAGAGAGCCGTTGTTTCCAGTCACAAATTTATTTTAATCAATTTGAACGTCCTTCAAGGTGTTGGCAGCTATCTTATGAAAGGGAGTCATTTTGTTTAGCACGGACCTGTAAGTTTTGAGGTCGATTTGTTGTCATATATTTTCTAGTGGCCATTAATTTAATTCGCTGCGATCCTGTTACGTAATTGTGCCATGATCGTGGCGGTTCCTCCAGAAATCGTCCTTTCGTGGAAATTACCTGAGTTGACAAATGTGCAGTGATGATAGAACACGCCGACTGAGGTCAGTCCTCAGTAAACTCTCTTCGACGTTCATCACACCGCTTGTGCAATTTCATGGTCATGGCCATAGGCTCCACTCTGACATGAAGAAGTCAGAGAAAGGCTTTTACACAATACTTGAATGC